TTATTAATGTTGACAAAATCCGACCATCCCAGCGTCGAAACGGCGAACTTTTGGAAAAAAATTTCGTTTTTCCTCAATAACTTCTAAACCCTTGGAGATACGGAAAAATTGCATATTACCTTTCTTGTAGAGGATGACGAGACCTACAATTTCTGTATAAAAATTTTTCGATAGCATTAATATTTAACGAGTTATCGACGAAAAACGAAAAAACAGTTTTTTGCAAATTACTCGTTAACTATTGACGCTAGCGAAAAGTTTTTATACAGAAATTGTAGATCTCGTCGTCCTCTACAAGAAAGGTCTGATGCAATTTTTCCGTATGTCCAACGGTTTGAGAGTTATTGGCCAAAAACGAAAATTTGGAAGAAATTGAAGGGGTACCCCTTGGAAAAATCTCGGAAAAATCGAAAATTTTTTTTTGTTGTTTATTATTAGCAATGTTCTTCCGACGTCTGATTTCTTTTTAAAAAACGCGTTTCTAAAGTGAATAAACTTTTGGGATTGACTGTATAGCCAATACATCCTTAACTTACCACATCGTCGATATGATCGTCAGGACTGATCTTCTTGTTCAGACCCTTGTTAAGTTTGGTGACGACGAAGTCTCGATAGCTCTCGTCCTCCATCAATTTCTTCAGCCTGTTCAACTTCAACCAGCCGACGCCTTCACCGACTAAAACTTGATTCACCACCTGAAATCAATTCTTGCATAGACTGTGCCATAACGAAACAGGATTATGAACAGTTTCTCTTACGTCTGTCAAGAAAGCTTGATTATCACTGTTTGTACTGGACCTCTCCGCGTTTTGATCTCTCCTCTGAATATCTTCTTGATTAGCCCTGTTCGTCGAGTGTTTTATCAACGACGAACGTTCCACCAGTCCCATTTTTGCTAAATAAAAATAATTATGAATAATAAGAAGAAATCTCGATAAAGTGAATAAGTGATTTTTTTAAATACTTTTGGGGAACGGTCCGAGTATCGGTGTCTTCTTATCCTTCTGCGACTGCGGGATACCGGCATTTTTACTAGAACTATTCTTACTGCCTGCGGACGTAAAAATGTATTAAACATATTTAAAATGTATCTTGTATCTTTTTAAACCGATGATGCGTACCGAACAGGTCGCTGAACATGTTGCTCGTTTGCGTAGCAATGCCGTTTAAATCACTACTAATATTGCTGAAAAAATCACGTCCGATATCCCGTCGTCCACCGCGATCCGAAGCTACCAGTTGCGTGCTACTCGAATCCCTTCGCTGCGGCATTCCCGGGGGTGAGGGCGGTGAATGCTGCGAGTCGCCCAGACCCTAAACATGTCCAATCATATACGTTTTTGATAAATAGACCGCAGATTTAATGCATTGGATAATCAATAACAAAGAAGGGAAATCCACAGTGTATATAAAAAATAAAATTGCGTACTTTGAGTAAACCCTTCTTCGCGGCTTCTTTGGCACTTTTCGTAAAATCGTCCAAAGCGTTCTTACTGACATAAGTCAGATCATCGAATGTATTTTTACTGGCACCAGCCGCGGTTTTCGAAGCCTCTATTGCGGTCTTCGAAGCTTCTTGCATGGACTTCGTCGCCTCGCCCATAGCTTTTTTCGTTTGCTGTGTAAACTGTTTCACACAGGAAAAATTAAATATTTGATTTTATATATAATTCAATTGTAGGCAGTTCTTCTGTTTTACCTGTTCCAATGGCGCGAAGAGACTGTCCTCACCAGCCTCAGTAATTTTCTCTTTCGCCTGGTGTTTCAACTATCAAATAAAATTTTTTGAAAACGTAGAATCATTTACTAAATAATATAAAATATAATAATACCTTGTCCATGTGAGCAAGGAGACCGTCCTGACTGCTTTGCCTGGTCGTTTCACGAACCAGGTCCTTGGCTTGAGTGGCAATCTGTTCGAACAAGGATCCTTGGGATCCTTGTCGTACTACACCATTTCCGGTTACACCGGAACCCTGCCTTTGCAAACCCTCCGGTTTCTGAATACACAATAAACACAGTATTACTGGAATAATAATTCAAGATGGATTTATGAAGAGAATACAATTATTTATTGTCGCATGCAATCTTGTAAAGACTCTGTAGGCTGCTTGCTTATGAAAGTGCAATAACACTGGGGAAATGAAAGAGTACCGCAGAGCTCAGAATAAAACTTGTATAAACAATCGCGAAATTCCAATAGGTATTACTTAGAGAAACGTAAAACATTTATACTAAACAGGATTCTGAAACTTCTGAACTCAAGGGGATAATACACAGTGTAAATGAAATGGACCATCCTGCAATTGAATAACTCGAACCAAACGATTAGAGATGAGGATCATTATACTGAACACATCGATGTAGAAAAGCTGTGCTTTTCCAATAATTCCACAGCATGCACAGGTCAAGACAGTGAATAAAACGAGATGTTACACTGTATCTGACGAGGAATGACTCACGGGAACGACAAATCTACTGACACGCGAGGTCCTGTGGGACGTGGCAGGACGTTCGGTGTCGCTGACGCTCGAAGCGGCTAAAGAATGACTCTTGCCTACTCCGAACTGTCCTAAAGAACTTTGTGCGCTCAGGATCGTGCGCGGTGTTATCGTGGATGCTGAGTCTGACTCAAAGCTACCACCCTCCTCTTTATCCTATGACCAACCACTCCGTTAGACTTTTTTTTATCGAGTGTTTCTTCGGACAATCAATATTATTTCCCGTGAAAAGAAGCGAAAGCCAACAGATGAATTTGGATCTGTGTAAGAGTACGAGCTAGTCTCATGAGAGGTACTCACGTTGGTCGACTGAGAACCTTCTTGAGCTTTTGGGTTCAGCTCGAATTCAGAGTCCCTGTTGAAACTGGGACTGCTTAAATCGCTGTGACTGGACGAAGTGCTCGGCGGACTCTCAGGCCTGACGGTCGACTCTTCCTCCACTCCGGGATACTGCAACGAACTCGGGGGATTGTACACATTCTTCGGGTCCACCGATAGGGACATTGGTTGAGGCTGCGTCACTTGCGAACAATTGTAGCCTATAAAATATATTTATAATATACATTTCGAACATATAAAAAAGTCCTTCGAATAAAACTTGTTTCATCAAATGTTTCTGCCTTGAGTAAAAGTATATGAAACTAGTTTAGAAGATCTTTGAACGAGGCACTTTGTATAAAGTAAAAAGAAGATGATTGATACTTAAAACTTACTGGGAGATAAATCAGAAGAGGCCATCTCGGAGACGAAGTCGCTCAAAGAAGAATAAGACGAGCTGGTGCTCTCGGCACCTTCGGAATCCGAGCCGCTTTCATCGGTCGGTTGACTACCGTGCTCCTTCATCGCCCTGAGAGCATTCGCCAACGAGCTACCGTTGTCCCATACAGGAAAGTAGATCGGTTCCAGACTGGAGGCGTACCACTTGGGCTTGTCTCCGATCTGCGTAGGATCGAACACCCCCGTCTGCACCCTTAGGAACGCCACGTTGCTCGGTGTCAACGACCACTCGGCTAAGAATTCAACCGCCTGGGTCCTCGCGAATTTACTCAAGAAATGACTGGCCCGCGGCCTCGAACGTAGGAACGAATTGATCTGAAAAGCGACTACGGGTCTTGGATAGAGCCTCAGAGTCCTCGTGTGCTCGGTGAAGTTCGCCAGGAGATTCTGCGAGTTGAAGAATCGCACCATGGCTACTCGAGTCGCGACGTCCACCGAGTCCACGTCGTTCCCGTAAATGAACGGGTTCAAAGGTGGCATGGTTTGAGAGGAGGGAGGTCTTTGTGGCGATAAGGAGCTCGTCGATTGGGACACGGAAGGTCGACGAGCACCGGGAGTCGTGCCGGCCACTGGAGAGCTCATGGGACTCGCGTGGTGGTCGATGCTCGTCCTATGCTTCAACGATGAAACGCTGCGGAGATTACGAATTATCAATGCACCTTCAGTGATCGTCGAGTTTGAAAATAATTATAAAGTACCTCAAATTAGAGAGGTGGGAAGTGATACTCTCTCTCCTGCTAGGAGCCTGAAGGGAAGTTCTCGGGGAGGTTTCTTGCGAGAGCGGTTGCGGAGTTGACATACTAGCCATTGCCTAGAAAAATTGACCTGTATTAGAATCGAGATGTTTGATCATGCTTTCCATGGCGTTGTTCCTACGGATTACTAAAGCAACTACGTCTATTCTAGAGCTATACTATGCTTTCTACTCGATCTGCCGATTCCTTCGTCAGAAGCGTATTCTTCATGATCAATAAATAAAATAAATTCGTCGAAATTAGTTCATGCCTCTAACTACAACACAAGGAATCGTTATATATTTATACTCCATGCAAAGATAAATGAAATATTTACACTAGAGCCGTTTTGGTCCATCAGTTGCATCGCCTGCGATTAAACGAGGGTTTAATTATAAGAAAACGTAGTTCCTTTCGTAGATTAATTAACCATTTCGCAGCGAACCCAATTACATAATAACTGTATTAACGTAACGATTGTATTCGTTTGTGTGGCTGCGAAAGTGTTACGCAAATGAGGTTTAATTACCTGTCTTAAGTGGTTCTTTAGTATGGAGCCTTCTGGTTCGGGCAACGGTGGCAACTGATCGCCCAGACCAGTAGGCGCGTTTATCTTATTGCTGTCTAGATCCACTAGCCAAATGTCATCGGGCATTTTAAAGTTCGTTTTGTACAATAAAAAAGTAGCGGGTATTCCGATAACAAATGGTGTAGGTGCAAGCAACAACTGTTCCGCGCAGCTCATGCACGTGGGTAACAACGGTATCGCGGGGAACATATACTCCAGAGGATAAATCATCGTAACGAACGCCATTACGGACATCGACAGGGCATTGTAGTCGCGGGATTGCAACACGATCTGAAACCAAACGCGATTTATGCCTACATTAATCCAGAAAATGATACCACAACATCTGCACCGAGCGAGACGTTAGGAAACGAATGATCAAAGGCCAATGCCCCATTTGATGGAAGAAATTCTCAACAGATGAAGATTTCTTTCGCCCGAATTTTTATTTTTTTCACTATATGATTCATTGGAAGATTTGATTACCTTGTGCTCCAAGAGAATCAGCGTAAGGACCTTCAAGCATATGTCAACGCCAAGAAGTTCCAGGGGTAGATGCAGAGGGAAATCAACGAGAGAGAATCTAGTGTGATCTGGGAGTGCGAAACAGAGTGGCGGCTGCATACTTTGCGACACGATCTCGACCTCGACGCGTGTCTTTGTCGGGACCGGTACCGGGCTGCTCAGTAATCGTAGAATCCACGTCTCGATCTCGCGAACGTCGTGCAACACAATCGACGGCGTGCCTTCCAGCGTTTGCCCCGTTAAAACGCTCCACACCGTGTCCCTGTTACAAATTTTTATTCATGGATTTTACATGAAAAGAATTCTGGTCCCAGTTATGATAAATGAATAGAATTTAATAAAATCAATCAATTATTGTGTGGCATTTAAAACAAGTATTTACCTGTTGGTCTGCCTGGAAGCGCCCACCTTTTGCGGCGAGGAACTCTCGTTGCAAGCATCAATAATCTTCTTCAAAACAAAAAGGCATTCGCGAAACATCGAAAAGAACGGATGATGGGAAATGATGCATAACGATGTCAGTGAATGATTTCGTATCCTCTGAAAGCATAAATTGCACAGAGATAGTAATGAGTTAAATGATATTACATTGCAAATAGTATAACAGTAATAATGAGACGTACCTGTCGTCTGCGGGAAGCACGTGGAGATGGAGAGTGGCTTCCACCGCTTTCACTGTCGCCGCTTGGCGCGGTGATCCCTAATCTGGGTGCAGTCGGCATATGCGAAGTGTCGGAGTCCCTTCTGCTGCTCGGGCATTCTTTTTCAGAGTCGCTAGGACCCACCGCACTGCTCCTATAGTCGCTATAAAGAACAGCTAGAGATACATTCTTATAATCACTCGCCCGATTCTGTTTCTACCACTCATAGTTCAATAACTACTGATAATAAACTAAATTTTCTGCATTTGTAGAAATTATATGAAATACGATATACTCGAATTTGAATCACATTTTTTTCGATTCGTAATAAAAATATTTTAAAGACTATTATCTAAAGTATTATCTATACTATTATCTAAAGATTATTAGAAAATCGATTAAATATGTGTTATATTTCACCTAGAGAAGGCAGAATCCGTGCTCTTTTCCATGCTCTTTCTCCAGCTCTCCCTTCGGAACGTGGTATTATACTTGTCCCTCTTGGCGGCAACCCCGCTCCCGCCCGCGGCACCCATTCTTTCAATTGGCCGATAGAAATTCACGCAGATACCATAACGAGTCTTGCCTTGAAAAAGCCAAAGGTTCCATTTCTATTCATAGTTTATCTAATATGATTTTTAAATACCGGAGTCTTTATCCGTTAGGGTGAAGGTAAAGGACGTGGCCTCTCGTAAGGCTGTGCGTTTCGGGCCCACGCTGGTGCAACCCTCGGGTTGGCAGAAGTAGACCATGTCCAGCGGCAGTGGGAAATCTTTGTGATCTTCCACCGGATACCTTCGCAACAGTTCTGGAATCTTTAACAGATCGAATCTTAATTTGTTTCAATTCTCTATCGAGTCTATAAATGATTTATTATGTAATATAAATTAAGTAATAATAAATAAAAAAGTAGAACAAATTCTGCATACTTTGTAATTAAATGGTTATCAAAGTAATTGTTATACTCGTATTGGTCAATGAATAGAGGAGGGTACCTGCACAGGCTGGCGAGAGACTGATTGTGAAGGCAGTCTGGCCCCCACGATGGCGAGGTAGTCGACCAACCGGGGGCACAGGTGCTTCTTCTGTATATCCATCGTTGTAATTTACAACTCTGTCACCGTTCTGTCCAATGTGTACGGGTGATTTGAGCCATCGAGCTTTCATCAGGATAGCCTCCCGATCGCTTCATGGCTGTATCATTCTTTATTTAATCCGGCGCATCTAGAAGCACACCAATTCGATTAGCATCGCATTAGGTTTCCCTTTGAACAGCGAGCTCCTATTTAATTAACTGCTCGCCTTTCAATTATGCGACTCTCTTCGGCCTTCTATTTCCTAATTGATTTCTTCGACTCAAGAATTCTTTAAAGAATCCTGAGAGCCTCCGAACGTGCTCGCTTTAATTTCTATTTGTAGAAATGGATATTTAAAATAGATTCTGTCGCTCTATTCTCAGAAGTTCACGTTCATAATTTTTAGTTTTAAATAACTCGCAACCTTGACACCGTGGACAGGAAGAATGCTAACGAAGGTTAATTGATAGTGCAGCCTGATAATACGCGAAACAATATTTGGAGCATGAGACTCATTGATTTCCTGAGCTTCGTGACCTATATCGAGTTAACGAGAATCACAAAAACGTGCAAGGGCTCGAGCTAAGCTCAGCTGCTGACTATATATCTAGGTGAAGATGAGGAAAGGTCTACTTCTCGGTTGACATTCACCGGACCTTCGTTCTTTAAAAGGAAATTTCGAAACTCAGCTTCCCTCGCAGAAATTGCGTTCAAAAGAAAATCGTAATCGATGATTCCTTCGTAAGGATTCGTGTGCGTTTGCGCGAAGGAATGTACAGTGAATCTCGAAAATATTTGAACATTAAAAACTTTATTTGTTATAATATAATTCAATTATAATGATGAGAATTTTAGTACAGCGAAATTGATATCATGTCAATGATAGGGTACCTGCACAGGCTGGCGAGAGACTGATTGTGAAGGCAGTCTGGCCCCCACGATGGCGAGGTAGTCGACCAACCGGGGGCACAGGTGCTTCTTCTGTATATCCATCGTTGTAATTTACAACTCTGTCACCGTTCTGTCCAATGTGTACGGGTGATTTGAGCCATCGAGCTTTCATCAGGATAGCCTCCCGATCGCTTCATGGCTGTATCATTCTTTATTTAATCCGGCGCATCTAGAAGCACACCAATTCGATTAGCATCGCATTAGGTTTCCCTTTGAACAGCGAGCTCCTATTTAATTAACTGCTCGCCTTTCAATTATGCGACTCTCTTCGGCCTTCTATTTCCTAATTGATTTCTTCGACTCAAGAATTCTTTAAAGAATCCTGAGAGCCTCCGAACGTGCTCGCTTTAATTTCTATTTGTAGAAATGGATATTTAAAATAGATTCTGTCGCTCTATTCTCAGAAGTTCACGTTCATAATTTTTAGTTTTAAATAACTCGCAACCTTGACACCGTGGACAGGAAGAATGCTAACGAAGGTTAATTGATAGTGCAGCCTGATAATACGCGAAACAATATTTGGAGCATGAGACTCATTGATTTCCTGAGCTTCGTGACCTATATCGAGTTAACGAGAATCACAAAAACGTGCAAGGGCTCGAGCTAAGCTCAGCTGCTGACTATATATCTAGGTGAAGATGAGGAAAGGTCTACTTCTCGGTTGACATTCACCGGACCTTCGTTCTTTAAAAGGAAATTTCGAAACTCAGCTTCCCTCGCAGAAATTGCGTTCAAAAGAAAATCGTAATCGATGATTCCTTCGTAAGGATTCGTGTGCGTTTGCGCGAAGGAATGTACAGTGAATCTCGAAAATATTTGAACATTAAAAACTTTATTTGTTATAATATAATTCAATTATAATGATGAGAATTTTAGTACAGCGAAATTGATATCATGTCAATGAGATCGTCACATCATATCATAATGTAATATAGTTGTATAGTGGCTCTTAAAAATGATATCAAAACTTTCCTTCATCTATTTTTATCGCTACCACGTTTTGCGGTTTGAACGGTATTCTTACTTTAGAGAAAGGATAATGAAATGATGAAATGGTAGAATGTCCTGCTTCCTATTCATTAGCGAGATAAACGCAAAGAACAGATATCGAGGCATCCATTCAATGCTTAAAAGGCAAATTGATATACGTTCAAATCTTTGTCGATACCAATTAAAAGTATAACAAGTATTGAATTCTTAATTAGGTGCACCTTTAGTTTGTTGAAAGTACGGAGTTTCGAAATTTCACCAATTTCTAGTAATTGCGTTAGATTCCTCAATATCGATCGTGGTGCAACTAATGATTCAATTAGTGAATTACTGTTTCGCTCTAAACTTTAAGAAGATTTAATTTCACTCAAAGCAACATGAACGAACATATCAATAATTAATCAAGACCGTGATAAACTGTGTTCGCAGCGATTCCAGGAAGTTTGATATAAAGAATAATTAAAACACGATTAAGCGATATAAAACAAGCTGAAGAAAACTCTCTGATCGGTCGCAATTGTTCAGTGGACGAATCCATGTTTTCACTTTCCCTGGGGCACAAGATAATCATTTTTCAACCCTCTATTAAAGACCTAATCACCCAATATGTTACCAATTAACGAGCAATGCGCGTTTCAACTATTCGACGTCAAAAGCGAAGCCTGGAATACTTCGACGAGGAACAATGAAATGAAATTTGAACAAGTCTCTGAATCAGGACGAATCCTAAAAAATCGACACGTAGCACTCTACATAATCGAAGCTTTACAACGTCCTCAGACATTCGTACGTCATTCTCAACTTCGCACTTCGTGGAATATTCCAAAGATAATGAAAGATTCACGATAAACGAAGACTAATCGGGCCGATCTACGTTTCTATGATTCGGCTGTCCTATTTAAATCTCTGTGAAAGGTCGAAGGGAACTTACGTGTCGTTCGAAACGATGGTCCCGGTGAAAAATCGCCGCTTCTAGCTTCTTCACGAGCCCGACACACCGAGCATCGCCCGACTGGCGATACCACACTGGCGATCGTTCGCGGCGAACTCGAAGCTACTAGGCAGGCGTACGACCATACCCAGGGACGGCACTTGCGTCGTTAAAGGGACATCGTTGCCCTGAACTCTGGCCGGGACTACGTTTTTACACCGTCTTAATTGTCCTTTCGAATTTTTCGATCGATGGGCACATGCCAGATTTCACACAATTTCACCTCCCCCATGTAAAATCAATAAGAATTGATCGTCCTGACGAGCTCGTTGAGATATACAGATATTTCAATCGTCCTTTGGATATTTTCGATTGCCAATAGATCAGAGTTAGAGATAGTAATTTATGACACAGGGGTTTGGGCTTAGGGGAGTTTGGAATAGTTTTGGGGTAGGATGCTCTTTTCCTTATTCAACAGAATGTGGAGACCCCCTGACGAAAATCAAAGAAGCGATTCTTATGCAATGTCAAGGTTTCCACATTCTGCATAATCTCATGCAGCACTTACAATTCCTACAGATTCAATTAGAAAACAACCCTTGTTCTAATCATAAGACTTATAGAAAGTATGTTCGTATGTGCATTTCTTCAGCGGTCAGTTATCACATAGTGCTGATGGTTTGAATTAATTATGCAGCCCAAGGATAAAGCCGGCAGTATCCACCTTGAACTAACATAGAACCATCAAGAAAGTTAAAGGACTTCTGAGTTAGCTTATCCCTTATCTTATGATGATCTTAAACGTGGCGTGCATAAGCGACGTAAGGAAAGAAAGTTAAATTACTATCTCGAGAACGACTGCTTACACAAAGTAATTTATATTTTCAGTTAAATGCATTGTAGATGCAAAGTGTCCTTTGCAATATGCATTGGGTATATTTATACTTTCTTCACGTTCGATGCATAAAATCAGCAATCTAATTATAGCAGACAGGATAGAGTATGGAAGCGAATTGCGTGGACTAAAAAGAAGAGGGAAACGAACTGAGGAAATCAATAGATCATAACGAGACAGAAGTTCTCGTGATCATCGGTTACGTTGCGACAGACGCTCTTTTTCAGCCGCCAGCTGGCAATTTAATTGCCCGTTACTGTTCCTCGGGACTTTTACTATGCACACACCGGCTACCTTATCAGACCCCTAGCAGGCACTTATCATGCGAACGTATTATACTTACACGTGAACGTTTCAGTACCGCTAATAATTTCGAAATTCGATTGTTCCCAGTACCTCGTGGCACAGATCCTTTCAATCTTGTTATGGATGTTTTGGCTATACAGTCAATCCGAAAAGTTTATGTACCTTAGAAAAACGCATTTCCTATAATTAAAAAGAAATCAGACATCGGAAGAATAATGCTAATAATAAATAGCTACGTGCTAAAAAGTATAGATGGAAAT